ATCAGATAAGGGGTTAATTTCCAAAATATATAGTGTACTCATACAACTCAAGAAAAGGAAGATAAAGAACCCAATTAAAAAATGGGCAGAGGAGCTGAATAGACTCCTTTCCAAATAGGACATACAAATGGCCAAGAGACATATGAAGAAATGCTCAACATTACTAATCATCAGAGAGATGCAAATTAAAACAACAATGAGGTACCACCTTACACTTGTCGGAATGGCCGCCATCAACAAATCATCAAACAAGAAGTGTTGGCGAGGGTGTGGAGAAAAGAGGACTCTAGTACACTGCTGGTGGGAATGCAGACTGGTGTAGCCACTATGAAATATGGTGCTACCTCTAAAAGTTAAAATTGAACTTCCATTTGACCCAATGATCTCACTTCTAGGAATATACCCTAAGAAGCCTGAAACACCAATCAGAAAGAATATATGTACCCCCATGTTCATAGCAGCAGTATTTACAATAGCTAAGATCTGGAAACTTCCTGAGTGTCCATCAGTAGATGAATGGATAAAGAAGCTGTGGTACATATACACAATGGAGTACTATGCAGCTGTAAGAAAGAAAGATCTGTTATCCTTTGAGACGACATGGAGTGACCTGGAAAGTATTATCCTAAGTGAAACAAGCCAAGCAGAAAAAGACAAATACCCCATCATCTCACTTATTTGTGGAATATAATGAACATAACAGTGTGAGGAATAGGGTGGACCCAGAAACATGGAAGTAGGGTACAGACTGACAACCCTCAGAAGAGAGGGTGGGGGGGGGAGGGAAGAGACACACCAAAGAACTTATATGCATGTATGTATAATCAATGGACATGGACAACAAAGCTGGGGATGGAGTGGGGGGATGGGTAGGAGGGTGTCAATGGAATAAAAAAGGAGAAACATATGTGACAAAAATAAAATAAAATAAAAAAGAAAGAAAAAGATAAAGAAAAGGGAATCTGAGTTCATCACTGAAATTATCAATTCACAAATGTAGGCAGCCAGAGAGGAAAAAATAGAACTACAAAATAGCCAGAAAGCAAATGGCATCAGTAAGTTCTTATATATTAATAATTAACCTACATAAAAATGAATTTAATTCTCCAATCAAAAGGACAGAGTGACTGCATGGATAAAAACCAAAAGCAAACAACCAACCATACAAACAGGCAACAACAATTACAAAAAACAAGACCAAACTACATGCTTCTATAAGAGACTCCCTTCAGCTTTCAGGACTCACATAGGCAAAGGAAAGGGACACAAAAGGTAGTTCATTCAAGTGGAAACCGAAAGAAATTGTAGGCAAGCTTATATAAGACAGCTAACTTCATACTCAAGGAAGTTGCCTATGCAGTTAGACCTGTGTTCCATACTTGAAGGAAGTTTAGAAGTATAATTAATTTGGAAAAGAGAATGAACTTCTTTCTTTCTTTCTTTATTTTTTATTTTCACCCGAGAACATGTTTTAATGTTTTATTCAGGTAGAGTAGGAGGGAGAGAGAGAGACATTGACATGAAAGAGACACATCGACTGGTTGCCACCCCGAAGGACCCAACTAGGGCCGGGGACAAACTGCAACTGAGGTACGTGCCTTTAGAGGGAACTGAACCTGGGTCTCTCTGGACCAGAGGCCGTCGCTCTAACCACTGAGCAATACCGGCCAGGGCGAGAATGAACTTCTTAAAACATTTTTTTTCTTTATTGATTTTAGAGGGAAAGGGAAAGAGAGAGAGAAACATTGATGAGAGAGAACATCGCCTGGCCACCCCCTGCTTGCCCCGCACTGGGGATCAGGTCCACAACTTGGCCATGTGCCCTGAATGGGAATTGACCCAGTGACCTCTTGGTGCATGGGTTGACACTCAACTACTGAGCCACACCAGCTGGGCGAGAATGAACTTTTTGGATTAAAACAAATAATTCATAGTTTTTGACTCAGGATAGCATGCATTACAAATTCGAGCAACTATAGAAATGATTGAGGGTTTCCAATACTTAAGCAAGCTAACAAGATTTGAAATACAAATCCTGAATGAAAAATGTGTTCTGGAATAGAAAGAATAAGAAAACCCAAATCTTGCTCTTTGTGGGATTTCAATCTGATTAAGTAAACCACCCACGATCATTTTAATCTTATAGCTGATTACAGCCTAAGTTTAAACCACAGGGGCCATCCCACCATTCTGTGAGATGTGATAAAGAGAGAGAAATAAGGACATCTCTGTTTCCCTGGCTATGGTCATGGGAAGCAAGTGGGTGAGAGAGTCACTCAGAACAATTGGAAAACCAATGGAACATTTTCCCCTTCTACCTTATCTTGACTCACTCTGCATAAGCTGAGCAAAAGGAGAAGGCAGAGTTAAAATGTATCTTTGTGGTTCTTGTGATCTGTGGATCAGTTCAAGTTGATCATCTCCTTAGCTAAATGAGAGACAGCAATTTCACTTTTTATTTAAATCAGCCCTAAGCAAAAATGAGCTTTATTAAAGACAGAGCTTTTTCTTGCCCTTGAGGTTTCTGAGAATCTCATTACAAACTCTAGACATCCCAGATATCACTTTGAATCAATGCAGTTTTTACTGTTGAATGAGTAGTATATCAGAGAATGATATCCAGTAAGAATTTTGAAGGAAGTTTGCTCTATATTGTATCAAAACCTTTCTATATTTGGCTTTACTGGGAGATTTGGTCAGTATATAATTTTTTACAAGGCTTTGGAGCTTAAAAAAGCTTAGAAAACCTAGAGCTGCTCATGTAATACACACACTTTTGTGTCAAAAGAATAAAGCAGTTTGTAGCTACCATTGTTAATAATGGAGTTGATCTCCTGACAGTATGTGAATGCAGACTTTTGGGTTTGTGGAAGTGTACTGTTGGCTTCTACATCTTACTTAGGTTTCTTGTAGTGGTGGGCAGTTCTGTCCATTTAAGACTTAGGCCAAGTCCAGAAAATTTCTGATTCTTCCAGCAGAGAGAACCCCGGATTACCACTCTAGTGGGTCTCTAACAGTGTCCCCTCATCTAGTTGCAAAGAGGTTCTTCAGATAATCAGCAGGCTGGATTGTTTTCAAGTTTTAGTTTATCTGTGTGTTTAGAGAACATACATCTGAAGTGAAAAAATAAAATAAGGCTACCTGGGATGTTATAGGCCACAGGTCCAGAAGATTTGGTGTTCTTCAAATAAGGATTACCTGCCTCCTTCAGAATATGATAGTTTTCTTAGGCTGTGTTGTGATACATTCTATACTATGGGTACTTAACAACCAAGGTTACCATTCCAGGCCATCTCTAATCCCATTCTGTTTTAACTTATCTCCCCTAGTGACTCCACAGTAAGGGCCTCTGAGAGGAGAATACACTCTACTGTATTCTTAGTATCTCCCAACTAAAGACACCAGCGCTGGATTTTTATCACAGGATGAACAATGTCTGGGAGGGTAGAACACCTCATAACCCCTTATTCTTTCTCATGCTCTGTTCCTTCATCTCTTCCCAGTTGCAGTGAGGGGGCTAGAAAGGCAGTACTGTACTGTGATTTCAGGCCAGGACTTAGCCATTGTTTCCTCAGCCCTGTATACAGTAAGCAATGGACTCTTTGCAGCTAGAGTTTTATCCTCACAATTACTAGAGAGTCCTGCTGTATTCAGCATTAATGCTCAAAAAAATTGTTCCACGATCAGAATCTCTACTCACCTCTGCCACTGAACCCCTCTTCCCAAGTAGCATATGCAGCCCTCACACACTTAAGCATTTGTATATAGGTTGATGGTGTTGAGCAGCTGGGTAGACATTCAGCAGCATCACAGTACTCAGTAGGACAACCAGCACAGGTTGGACTGTTAGACTTTCATAAAGTTAGCTGGTAAAGAAAACAATGAAACCAGATGGATTTAGATAATTTATTGCTGACAAACACAGCAAAACATAGTGTTAGACCTTAGTCCCACAGAATGACACCCCACCAGAGGGGACAGATGATGGACAACAAAGGTGGTGGGCCACTCTGTTGCTCAGGGGCCAACTCTAAATCATAGCCAAGTGGTCTTATAGTCTGTAGCTGGACTCTAACTAGGCTGAGGTGGAAAGTCCCATGCTTTCATTCTCTAAAACTAGGGAGGTGAATGAAAACTTGCCTTGTGGATCCCATCACAACATGACCTTTCTCCTTGTATTTCAAGAATTGCCATGTCAGACTCAGTCAAGACTGGAGCCAGCCTGCAGTTAAGCCTTGCCTGTGTAGTCTATTTAAGGGATGCATAAGGTCATGGGGGTGGGGTTGTGTGTGGGGTGGGGCCAAGGCAGATCTGTTCCTCTACAGATGGGAGGATTCAAGAAGAGGTGAGTGGGGATGGTAAAGCCTAGGTATAAAAGGATGTTTTTGTAATCTGAAGCCTCTATGAATAATTAAGACATCCTTTTTATGAGTAAAGAGACAGTCACTGAGGAGAACATGGATATCACTTTGAAATGAGAAAATACCATCTAAGTTGTTTTCATGAGAAGCTTAGCTCTTTTTAGGAAAGCTGCTGCCCAGCTTTTAAAAATTTATTTATTTATTTATTTATTTATTTATTTATTTATTTATTTATTTATTTATTTATTTATTTTAATTCTCACCAGAGGACATTTTTGCATTTGTCTTCAGATAGAGCGAGAGGGAGGGAGAGAGAGAGAAACATTGACGTGAGAGAGACACATTGACTGGCTGTGTCAATCTGCACAGCCCCAACCAGGGCTGGGGACAAAACCGCAACTGAGATACTGCCCTTAGCGGGGACTGAACCCAGAACTCTCTAACCGCTGACCCAAACCAGCCAGGACTGCTGCCCAACTTTTAAAATCCAAAATCATAAGAATCTGAAAGCTTATACAAATGCTAAAAAGCAACAGTTGTGGGCACATCATGATATCACAGTTTAAATTCCTTGGCTGTGCGAACGATGGGCCGTGGTCAAGGACTTTCAAGCTAATTGGCATTCACTGGCGTCTCATGTCAGGGCTCAGGGTTTCCTTTGACACAGCACTCCAAACGAAGCCTACAATAGGCAACTAGCATTTCACTTCCATAGCACTCAAGTCTGCAGGTGCCATTTCCATAGCATTTCTTGTACATTTCTGATGATATTATATTCAAGCCTGGAAAGAAAAGGAATGGAAGAAAATTCATTATAGGCCTTGTTGCACTATAAAATGATGAGTTCCTCCATTTTTTATCACACTGGGATTCCAAGGAAACTAGGTCATATGAATGATTTTGTTTGAATCAATTGATTCTGATGGAATGGAATCAATTAATTCTAATTAATTCTGATGGAAGAAAATTAACTTGTGCTATGGATTGAATTGCACCCCCCTTCCCCCCCTAGTTTATATGTTGAAACACTAATCCTCAGTATGACTGTATTTGGAGATAAGGACTTTAGGTGGTAATTAAAGTTAATTAAGTTAATAAAATTGGGACCCTAATGCCCTAATGCACTGGGCCCTAATTTAGTTGGCCTAAATTAATAAGATTTTTGCCTTATTGGTAGAAGACGCAGAAAGGAGATGATGTTGTCTATAAGCCAGGAATATAACTCTTGTCAGAAACTGAATTGATCTTCAGTTGATCTTGGACTTTCTAGTCTCTAGAACTATGAGAAAATTTTAAGCCATACAGGTTGAGGTATTTTGTTATGGTAGTCTGAACTAAGACCATTAGTCACTTGGAAGTTTGCCCAAATTGGTCAGTGAATATACTCTAAACAATCAAGTTGCCTCTGTATGTACACATTTTAAAATTATTTATTCATTCCCAAACCAGTTTTTATAAACTCAGGTACTGTTGGGGTTCAGATCTGAGTATGATATAGACCTTAATCTCAAAGAATTTTCAGTCTAGACAAAAAGAGAAGAAACATAAAGTACCTGTGAGAGCGGAAAAAAACATAAAAACTCCAGTGAAATATTTGCATCAAGGAATGGTGTGAGTTCAGAGGAGGATGAAATCAGTTCTGAAGATCTGAGATGTCTTACTAGAGCCCAAGGCATATGAACTGGGCTTACATTTTTGTTTAAATGCTACTCCACAGAATCATCAAAATGTGAATGTTTATGTTCATATATAAGTTGGTGTTAAAAGGACAAGAATGGCAATATTTGGCCATTTGTAGATATTTTGAGCCAACACATACACTATCCAAGTCACCATGCCCTGGAGGATAATTGTCCTATAGGGAAAAAGAAGTCATCAATGTTACTTAGCTGGCAAGATGGAAGCCCAAGAAGATGAAATGTAATGGTCTGCAAAAAAGACAAGAAAGTCTTGTAAAAAAGACTAGCTATGGGAATGTATGAGACACTAAAAGGAATACTGTAGACTATATGCAATTGTTGACTGTCTAGAGACCATGAATCCGTCGCCATAAACCATAGTGGAATTGGTCCCATCAACAGCTTTAAAAACCTGGACTCTATGCATTCTTAAATCCAGTGTGTTGAGTCACATGATCTGAAAATCTGATTCATTTGGCTAAAGAATACTTCAGGGAAGGTGAGGAATTAAATGACACATATAATGACCCTATAACACATGGATTTGAATTGATTCAATAACACTGAGTGAAGAGAATAATCAACATGAGATTTATAAATCAGAACATGGCACCAGTCAGTGTTCTCCCTCATGTCTCGTGAGCTGTTACCTCATCTAATCAGACATTTCTTTGTATCACATAAAGCTTATTAATTCTCTTGGAATTAGCAGTTCCAAATCTGTTTCATCATGTACCTAAGGAATCTACAAATAGTAAATTTACTATAAGCAATTTCTGCATTTTAGAAAGCTTAAAATGTTAACACTGTTTGCTGGTTTTGACTGGTAGAACTAGATATAATCCCAAATTAAAGACAAAATAGTGGCAAAGCAGGATGGGGTGTTACTAATGAAAATATAACAATACTTCTCATAAGTCAGGTACTGTACATATTATGTATAGGCATGTTCTATATATTATCCCATTTAATTCTTGCACGACTCTGAGGGCAGTGTTGTTATTTTCGTTTTGTAAGGTTCAGAGAAGCTCAGAGTTTTGCCTGCAGCAGTACAGCTAACAAGTTGGAGAGCCAAGATTCAAGGTGCTTTTTTTTTTTTTACTTTGAAAAGTAAAGGGTCTCTGGTGGGACATTCATAGGTTTGCTTAGTGGAATTGCTCTTCTAGACAAAGGATCTCTCACCCCTGCCCCCACCAGAAGATTTCCATTTTACCTGCCAGTGCTGTGTCCCTGGAGATGAGTAGGGCAAACACAACGAGGAGAAGCTTCATGGCCAGGATCTTCTGTTGAGGAGGCTGGTGTCAGGGTGTGACACTGTGTTCAGAGAGCAGAAAGGGAAGGTTGGGCACACCTTTCTGTACAAAGCTCTCAGGTCTGGGGTGTGCCCTGCTCCAGGCAGATATGCGACACTGATCTCTCTTGAGGCAGCAACTTGAGACAGTGCTTATATGAAGAAAAAACTGACAGCCATTCCTGTTGGACAGCTTCCCCCCATTTCTTTCTTTTTCTTTTTTTGTGATTTGTCTTTGATTGTGAATATACATTTTTAAAATTTATCTTTATTGTTGAAAGTATTATAGATGCTCTCCCATTTTCCCCCATAGACACCCTCCTCCCCACTCCTGCCCCCCCTGCCTTCACCACACTGTCATCTGTGTCCATTGGTTATGCATATATGCATATAAGTTTTTTGGTTTTTCTCTTCCTGCCCTCCCTCCCCACTTCCCTCTGAGGGTTGTCAGTCTGTTCACTGCTTCCATGTCCCTGGATCTCTTTGACAGTTCCATTTTAAATTTTTTGAGGAAACTCTGACAGCTTTTCTATTTGAAAAAAGCACCCCACAACCTAGGTTTTCCAAAAATACTAATGGAGACCTGAAAACTATGTGCTTTCTCTCTCTTTTTGTTAATATTCACCCGAGGATCTTTTTCCATTGATTTTTAGATAGAATGGAAGAGAGGGAGGGAGGGAGAAAGAGAAACATTGATGTGAGAGAGACACATCGATTGGTTGCCTCCAGCAAGACTCTGACTGGGTTTCGGGATTGAACCTGCAGCCCAGGTACGTGCCCCTGACCAGAAATTGAACCTGAGACCCTTCGGTCTGTGGGCTAAAGTTTTAACTGCTGAGCCAAACTGGCCAGGGCATATGCTTTCTCTTTTTTTTTAAATAAATAAAATTTATTTTGTTGATCTTTATGTTACAACAAAAATTAAGTGCCACCTTTAGATAAAATTTTAAACATTAAAAATTACAAGGAAAGAAAAGTTACACTTAAAGCCTATCTCCCAGAGACAACCTGTGTGCTTTTTTTTTTAAATTTTAAATCTTTATTGTTGTATGTATTACAGATGTTCCTCATTTTTCCCCCATTGACCCCCTCCTTCCCTGTCCCGCCCCCCTCCCACCTTTTCCCATACTATTGTCTGTGTCCATTGGTTATGCATATAAGTTCTTTAGCTTATTTCTCCTCCCCCAACCCCTTTCCCTTTGAAGTTTGTCAGTCTAGCAATGAATTTATACTTCTTAATCCTTTCACCTTTTCACCCATTCCCCCAAACCCCCTCCCATCTGGCAACCAACAAAATGTTCTCTGTATCTATGAGAGTGTTTCTGTTCTGCCTGTTCAGTTTGTTTGTAGATTCCATTGTCGATAGATTTGTATTCATTGCCATTTTGTTTGTTCATATATTTATCTTTTTCTTCAAAAAGACCCTCCATCATTTCATATAATAATGGTTTGGTGGTGATGAACTCCTTTAACTTTTTCTTGTCTGACCTGTGTGCTTCTTAAGAAAGTTTTATTTATACCTGGTTTATTGTTCAATATTTTGTTTTGCATAGTTATAAACTTAATATACTAGTAATTAGTTATCTTGCTTTTGTAACATGCTCTATACAGTATATTCTGTGTCATTATAAACTCTTTAGGTAGGATTTTTTTTAAAGTTGCACAATATTCTCTCAAGAACATATTTTTATAACTCATTATTTAAAACCATCTTTATTGTGATATAAATGACATCAAGACTGCAGATATTAAAGTGCACAAGTTGATAACTTTTGACACACATCCAGTTTTTTCATCACATCCAAGGTAATGAAAATATCCTCTCCCTGCAATCACTCTTCATGAATTTTTCTCCCCAGCTTTAATGAGGTATAATTAACAAATAAAAATCATATTTATGTAAGAAATAAAATGTGGTGGTTTAAAGTACATATACATTGTGCAATAATTATCACAATCAAACTAATTAACACATCCTTAACCTCAAATAGTCTTTTTTTTTTGGTTTGGTGAGAGTAAGATTTACTCTTTTAGCAAACTTCGGGGTAATAATACCATATTATTAACTAGAGTGACCATGCTATCCATTAGATTCTCAGAACTTATTGATCTTATAATTGAAAGTTTATTCCCTTTGATCAACATCTCCCCATCCCTGCCCCTACCCCCACCACCCCCTGAACCCCTGGCAACCAGCACCTTACTTTCTGGTTCTCTGAGTTTGAGTTTTTGAGATTTCACATCTAAGTGAGTTAATACAGTATTTGCCCATGTCTGGCTTTTTTTTTTTTTTACTTAGCATAATGTCCTCCAGGTTCATCCATGTTGTCACAAATGGCAGGATTTATCTTTTTTACATGGCTAAATAATATTGTATTGCACCACATTTTCTCTATCCCTTTAGTGTTGATGGCCACTGAGGTCTTTTCCATATCTTGGATGTTGTAAACAATGCTGGAATAAACATGAGTGTGCAGATACCTCTTTGAGATACTGATTTAATTTCCTTTGGATATATTCCTTGAAATGAGATTTTTGGATCACATGGTATTTTTAATTTTTTAAGGAGATTATATACTCTTTTTCATAATGGCTATACCAATTTACATTTACAACAGTGCTCAAATGTTTCCCTTTTCCCTTTTTTCATATCCTTGCCAATGTTTGCTATCTCTTGTCTTTTTAAAACATGAGTTTCAGGTGTACAACATTATAATTTGACATTTGTATATACTACAAAGTGATAAGCCCCCAAGTCTAGTAATTATCCATCAGCATACAATTGACCACTTCACCCCTTTCTCCCACCCACAACCTTTCCTTCTGGTAACCACTGATCTGTTCTCTGTATCTATGAATTTTGTTTTACTTGTACATTTTTTTTCTGTTTTAGATTCTACATATGATTAAAATCATAATTTTCTTTCTCTGATTTATTTCACTTTGCATAATACCCTAAAGGTCCATCCATGTTGATGTAAATGGAAAGATTTTATTCATTTTTATGGCTGAGTAATATTCCATCATATATATCACATTTTATTTACCCATTCATCTATTGATGAACCCTTAAGTTATTTCTGTATCTTGGCTATTCTAAATAATGCTGCAATGAACGTAAAGTTGAATATATATTTTTTGAATTCATGTTTTTCTGTTCTTTGGGTAAATACCCAGGAGTGGGATAGCAGGATTATATGGTAGTTCTAGTCTTAATTTTTTAGGAATCTCCATACTGTTTTCCATAATGGCTATACCAATCTGCATTCCCACCAAGAGTGTACTAGGGCTTTCTTTTCTCCACATTTTTTCCAACACTTGTTTCTTTTTGATAATAGTCACTCTAACAGCTGTGGGGTGATATCTCACTGTGGTTTTGATCTGTATTTCCCTAATAATTAGTGAGATTGAACATCTTCTCATGTATCTGTTGGCTATCTATATGTCTTCTTTGGATAATATCTATTCAGAACTTCTGCTCATTTTACAAAATAAGATTGTTATTTAGTTCTTGAGTTTTATGAGTTCTTTCTGTATTTTGGATATTAAACCCTTGTTGGATGTATGATTTGCAAATATCTTCTCCCATTCAGTAGACTGCCTTTTGTTTTGATGATGGTTTGTTTTGCTGAAGTTTTTTGGTTTGATGTAGCCAAATTTGTTTACTTTTGTTTTATTATTACTTTTTTAGTTTAGATATAAACTCATTATTTTTGCTTTTGTTTCCCTTGTTTTTGGAGTCAGATCCACAAAAATATTGCTAATATTGCCACTTATATATATTTTTTTTTCAGGAATTTTATGGTTTTAGGTTTTACATTCAAGTCTTTAATCCATTTTGAGTTAAATTTTTTTGTGGTGTAAGATACTGGTCTAGTTTCATTGTTTGTATATAGCTGTTCAGTTCTCCCAATACCATTTATTAAAAAGACCATCTTTTCTCTATTGTATGTTATTGGATCCTTTGTCATAAATTAGTTGTCCATATATGTGTGGGTTTGTTTCTGGGCTCTCAATTTTTTCTTTTCTTTTTTTAAAAATTAAACTGTGTGTCTGTTTTTGTACTAGTACCACACTGTTTTTATTAAAATAACTTTGTAGCATAGTTTAAAACCAGGATGTGTAATACCTTTTGCTTTGTTGTTTTTTTTTCCTCAAGATTGCGTTGGCTAGTCAGGATCTTTTATGGCCCCATAGAGATATTAGCATTATTTGTTCTAGTTCTGTGAAATATGCATTGAAATTTTGATAGGAATTGAATTGAATTTGTAGATTGTTTTGGGTAGTATGGACATTTTGACAATATTAATGCTTCCAATCCATGAGCATGGTATATTTTTCCATTTATTTGTATCATTTTCAATTTCTTTTATTACTGTTGCATAGTTTTCCATGTAAAGGTCTTTTACTTCCTTGTTTACATTTAATCCTAGGTATTTTATTATTTTTATGCAATTGTAAAGGGGATTATATTCTTAATTTTGCTTTCTGATTGTTAGTAGTGTGTAGAAATTCCGTAAATTCCTATACATTAATTTTTGTATCCTGTGAATTTACTGAATTCACTTAATAGTTCTAACAGTATTTGGTGGAGTCGTAAGGGTTTTCTGTAAGTGGTGACAATTTTACTTCTTCCTTCCAATTTTGATGCCTTTTCTTTCTTTTTCTTGCCTAATTGCTCTGGTAGAATTTCCAGTACTACATGGTGAGAGTGTGCATCTTTGTCTTGTTCCTGATCTTAGAAGCAAAGTGTGATCTTTCACACTTTCAGCGTTGACCATTATGCTACTTGTGGGATTGTCATATGTGGCTTTTATTCTCTTGAGGTATATTTCTTCTATAACAATTACATAGAGAAATTTTCATGAAAGGATGTTATATTTTGTCAAATGCTTGTCTGCATTTATTGAGATGATTATATAATTTCATCATCCATTCTATTGATGTGGTATATCATGTTTATTGATTTGCATATGTTGA